TTTTGTTAATTAATTTTCTGAAATTTAAAAATATGCGATATATTGATATATTATTATTATTATTATTATTATTATTATTATTATTATTATTATTATTATTATTATTTCTAGCAGTTTTGTGTGATTTGGATGTCTTAAGAAGTTTTGAATTGAATTTGTTACCTTGATATCCAGTTTTTGGGTAATTTCAATTGCTCTGAAATTGGAATCTATGGTTTTGATGAATGAAAAATTAATTTCGTATGAATTACAATTTAAAAACAACGAAATTAAATCACTCGAGCGTCTCATTAAAAACACATCAACATTAGTTCTTACATCATAAAAGCAAAAGCACAAAAACAGATTACAACTGGAGAACATAAATGATCATGTTTTTTCCATAATAACTCAAATCAAGTTTTTTCATAGTAAATGAAAGCCAAAAGTCCACACAAGCTCTCTCAATCAACCCTTGTTTTCATCAACAGACCCTATCTCTCGCTGCCATCAATCAAGCACACCTCTGAAAAGCAAAGATAAAACGGGTCAAGCGCGATTCTATTCAAAGGAATTATCAGACAAAAACAATTTACAGTATCAGCAAGAAAAAAAAAAAACAAAAAAAAAAATAAAAATTTACTCATCAATTTGCACTTGGCTTTCAAGTTGTAAACAGAAATTCAAAAGTAACACGACCAAGCACTAGGCATAAAAGTTGTTGTGACTATTGTTTATGGAATTCCCTAAAGACTTACTATTTTTGCTTATATATTCTCCAACAAATTCTACCTTCTGGAATGAGAAATTCAAAAGCAACACAATCAGACACTAGGCATAAAAGTTGCGGTGACATCTTTTTACTGAAACTTCCCTAAAGACTTGCCATTTTTGCTTATATATTCTACAACAAATTCTACCTTCTGGAAACAGAAATTCAGAAGTAACACGATCAGGCACTAGGCATAATAAAAGTTGTTGTGGTAACTTTTTACGTAAATTCCATAAAGACTTACCATTTTTGCTTATATATTCTCCATCAAATTCTACCTTCTGGACCGCCTATCTTCATTCTTGTCATCATCATATCTCCTTCCGCTCGAACCTTCATTCTTGTCATCATCATATCTCCTTCCGCTAGAACGCCCCCCCACATATCTATCCCTCTTCAAAGCATACTCCCTTTCTCTCTCATCCTTCACACTGGGATTCTCCTCTTCCTTTTCTCTCTCTCGCCCTCTCTGACTTTCACGATCTCTCCTGTACGGATCCTCGTCGCCTGCTCTTTCTCTTCTACTCCGTCTATGCCTTTCATGGTCCCGGCCCTCACTCCTATCCTCATTCATTGACTCGTTCCTATTACGTGTTTTTTCTTCAGGGTCACGGCCTTCGACATTGCCACTTAGTCTTGGGGGCCTGCTATTATTATCTTCAGTACCCTTAGACGATCGATGTTCACCTTCATAGCCAGATTCTCTAACCGAGTCCCCCTTTCTGTGCTTCTGATGGGGCTGCTCGTCCAAACTTCTGTCATCTGTTTTCCTCTTACCTCTCGTCTTATCTCGACTCTCATCTCCATACACATCTCCCTTTGATTTGAAAACGTGCTCCAGTTTCCTGAATGTATCCAGCCCATCAGCTTCATTCTTTTGTTTATCTCTTCTATCAGTTTCACGAGGATAATCCCTCTCTCCACGCTTGGCACTCGAGCCACCAACGTGATCACTTTGATTTTTACCCAAGGACTTAACTCCTTGGGTGCTATCGCGATTACCATCATTGCTTCTATTTTTGTCAGTGGTATCATCCTCACGTCTGCTTTTCTCGTATTTACCAGAATCATCAACCCGATTTTTTCGGTCCTCTCTCTCCTGTCTGCCACGGGAAGCTTTTAATTCATTAGCGTCTCTCTCGTATCTCTCTCTTCTCTTTCTGGTTCCTTCATCGGAATCCGAGTCACCATACCTCCCAGCATCTTCACCTCCGCTTTCGGCCCGACCTTTTCTACTATTTTCAAGAGGGTCCTCGTGTGCACGGGATTTCTGTTGAATCATTTTCTTGGATCGGGTGCTTTCTTCATCCTTCTTGTATCTATCAGCGTCAAACTCGTCATCAGAATCATGTCTCCTCCTGCCCTTGGAAGGCTCTTTCCTAGTTTGTTCCGTCCTCTCATGTTGTTTAAAGTCATCATCCGAGCTGTATTTATCGCGGGAATCCTGTTTTCTGCTCTTGGACTTTTTACTGTCACGTGCATGGTCTCCTTCAGAGCTGTCATCTTCAGAATCGTGCCGCTTACTTTTTAAAAAACTCTTTGGCTGTTGCTTTCCACTTTTCGAGCTTCTTCTAGACTTGTGGTCGGCATCAGAATCATACCGCCGGCGGGCTTTCTCGTAACCTTTGTCAGAATCAGATTCGGAACCAGAATCAAAGCTAGGTTCAGATTCAGATCCTGACTCAGAGGAACTGTTGACATGTCTTGCAACTTTCTTATGTTTACTTGACAATTCTTTCTTTCTCTTCCCAGCATCAATGTCAGAATCATCACTTCTATCTTTAGCTCTAACCTTTTTCTTGTGCCTTCCTCTAGTCCCATGCCTCTCAATGCTATCCGAATCAGATGAGTCATCATGGCTTCTTTTGCTTTTTTCCTTACTTTGGTGCTTTGTTTTGTCTCTACCAGATTCAATCTTCTTTGAAACCTTCGCATCTCTTCTGTCCTTTTTGTGTATATTTCTTGGTTCATCTTCACTGAGACCCTCTACAAATTCGCCAACCTCCATATCACGAAGCTTCTTTTCTCTATCTTCTTCCGATTGTATTCCAAGAGCAGCCTTTAAAGTTTCCATCTGCCTTTCCTTCCGTGCAGCTACCTGGTGGGTCTGTGTCTCGGATATCCTAACCACACACAAAACATAGATTCGGAAAAACTTAACTATGTGTAGATATATAAAATTTATATATTATACTGATAGTCTTTATTTTTCAAGTTTAAATTCAAGAGCTCTCAATTAGCTCGGAAGATGCATCATGTATTATAGAAA